CTTCCAGAACCGCCGTCCAGTCTTTCAATGGTGGCTCGACGAACGGAATGTTTGCGCTGGAGTCCCTATGATGCCCTTTGCACTGACTCATCACCTATTCGTCGATGCATCCCTCATGGGTTGGGGAGCTCACTTCCTCGACCACCAAGTGGCCGGGCTGTGGTCATCCGACGAACGGGTATAAACGAGCTGGAATTCAAGATGGTAATTCAAGCCATCTCACATTGGGCAACAGAGCTTCAATCAACCAGTCTGTTGAACCAATCAGACAATTCGACAGTGGTTTGGTATATATATCATCTAGGCTTGACAGGCTCGGCGAATCTGCTACAATGGGCGATCAGGTTCTTCCATCTCATCGACTCACTCAACATCGTAGCCAGAGCCAGACACATTCCGGGGTAAAAAATGTGATCACCGATGCCTTGTCCCGATCCAACCGACCGTCCCCGACAGAGTGGAAGTTACTGCCCCAGATCTTTCAGTCGATGATCTACCCGTTATCACGGCCTCAAATAGATCTGTTCGCCACAAGGTTCAACAACCAACTTCCAAAGTTTGTATCACCAATCCCAGACTCCTTGGCTTGGGACCTCGACGAGTTGGCAATATCATGGGAGGGTCTCAATGCCTACGCGTTCCCCCCTCCAGCTCTGCTACCAAAAGTAATACAGAAACTATTGGCCACCAGCAACATACTACTGCTTTTGGTCGCACCTTCTGGCCAGCAAGAAGTTGGTTCGTCAACCTAAGAAGCCTGGCAGAGCCAAACCCAGTACCGCTTCCCAAGCGGGACGACCTACTTCTTCACCCTCACTCGGAACTGCGCCACGGGTCACCTCAGACTCTCAATCTACACGTTTGACGCATCTTCAGAGGTCTCTCATAGCTAAGGGCTACTCTCGCCGAGTAGCCACAGCTATCACTTCAGCGCATCGTACTTCGACCCGTTCCTTGTATGACAACAAGTGGAAGAAGTTTGAAGACTATTGCAAGCTTAGGGGAATTGCATCTCCCACTTCCACCTCGGCTCAGGTCGTTGCTGAGTTTCTCCAGCATCTCCACACTACTAAGAAACTCAAGGGTACTACGTTGGCTACCTACTTAGCCGCCATCAACTCGGCTTTGGCTACCACCACGGGCATGAAGATTTCCACTGTTCCCGAGTTGCAGAGTCTACTACGCTCCTATAGACTCTCTGACCAGTCCAGGAAGTTCAGACCTCCGGCCTGGGATCTGTCCGTCATCCTTCGTCATATGATTTCTACAGATTATGAACCTTTAGAAGACAAGGACTTCGAACAAGTGACATTCAAGACATTCTTCCTGGTAGCTTTGGCTACCGCTGCTCGTATATCTGAACTGCATGCGCTTGATGTCAATCGGATGCGGTTCGAGTGGAAGAAGCATGGCAAGGCTTTCCTGGGTCTCCGCTGGGACTTCGTTGCGAAAAACCAACTGCCAGGGCAACCGGACCGGATGTTTACCATTCCCCCGTTGTCCACCATTCTTGGGCCTGATGATAATGAAGATTTGACACTCTGCCCTGTTAGGGCTCTACACGTTTCCCTTGCTGCCTCCATGGATCGTCGACGGCTACGGAAGAGCCTCTTCATACCCTTGTCGAACACTTCAAGAACTGAGGTTCCCAGACCATATTGGCCTTCTGGATGCGTGCCACGATCTGCGAGCCTACACCTTTGCAGGGTTGCCTCCTCCAGCCGCTTCCAATCCTCATGAGACTCGTGCACTAGCCTCGACGATGGTCCTCCATAGCAACTGCTCCTTGACCGCTATCATGGAAGGTTGCTTCTGGCGTTCTGATACAGTCTTCTCTTCACATTACCTGCGAGACCTGTCTGTCACGGATGTCCAGGGACTACACCAGTTCGGACCTCTTGTACTGGCTCAGCAGCTTACATCGGCCCAACAACGCAGATGAGGGACGGTTCCGCATTCGTGTTACTACTTCCTTGTATATACTGAATAAAAGTTGAACTGGATCTCAACCTTTTGTTCTCATTATATGGGTTTAAGAACTACTTCACTTGGCCTCCATACCAAGGCATCAGAATACGGCCACCTAGCAGAGGTGTGGCCCTACGGACCTGAGGCACAATCAGTATGACGATGCAGAGGTGTTTGACATTCACGCTTACTGACCTCTACTCCACGGAGCAATTACGTCAGTGAAGTGTGACACTCCCGAATTCCAGTGGATTTCGTTGCGTTCTGCCTCCAAAGTTGCCGGGCACATCCTTTGACTAAGCTTAGGCAAAGGAGTGAGGGTCAATTTGATGCTGCCCGGAACTGAACGTTAAACCTTGGAGATGCCGAAGTTGTGTTTCTCTTTCACCCGCCTCGGTCGGTGTCTGGGGGGCCTTCTTGAAGCAGAGGCTGGCCCGATTCTAGTCGCAAGACTTTAATTACGGGGGTACCTTGTAAATCATGGCGAGGCGAGGCTTACTTGCCGAGTTGCATCCCTTGCCTTGTACAAGGTTGTGACCGAACACCACATCGCTCAGGAGCACCCATCTCCCTGGGAGTCGTTGTGCTTAGTAAGCCAAGTGGTTGCGGAGAACCCACTACAAGCATAGGAGTTGCGTGCATGCGTAACAGGCCTCCCTTGACGGTTGTCATCAGTCCACACAGCTCCAAGACCAGCTGTTCGCACTGTCCAGACAGAAGGGTAATCTGCGGCCCGCCGTCCAACCGTGCAATAAGTGCAAGTCATGAGATTGGATAAGTTTAAAAATTTGGAAATTTTAATGTAAATTGTATATTTATATACTTATCCTATCTCACGCGATGGATGCCCGCCCGGCCTCCCCACTACTCAGATTACAACGTTGGCTCCAAGATGAGAATGATCATTCAAGGTAGTCACGTGGGCAATTAGTGGAGCATGCTGCAAGCTTTATTAGAACTAGGAAGCTAATTAAGGAGAGCAGCATGGAGTGCACAAGGAGGCCATGGAAAAAGTTTACAGTCGCTCCAATGGAAGCAAGAGAGAGAGGCCTGAGATGATAAGTATAAAAATATACAAATATATTAAAACAGTTTGTCAGTTTTTGCCATGTTTTTCAAAAGTCGAGTAGTTTGCTCCCAAGAGAGCTGAGGTCCAACCATCAGCTCTAGACATCCAAAGGATAACTGAGTCCATAACCATAAATATGCACAGTTTATATGGTAGATGAATTATTCACAATTGTTTTGACCCAGAGACCCAAGAACAACTGGAGATACAGCCTTTTAAAGAGGGAACTATACAATAGATAAAACTAAAGCCAAGGAGCCATCATCGTTGCTTGCAACTATATTTTATCATTGAAATAATCTACAATTAGATAAAGTGCCAAAACAAGTTTCTTTCTCATTCTAAATCTAAAATTGAGTCCGACGAGAAACAAGGGTTTTTAATCTATGCATTTTAAATATAAATACACTTGCAGAGGCATCTGAAATTTGTGTAAAAAGGAATTTCACAATAAGAAAAAACAATTATCAACGAAATCTGGTTAAATATTTAACATACTGTGAATAGGTATTTAACAACACATACTACACACATGAAATATTATTTATTATTCATATTATTATATTTGGGATTTTACTCCAAATCTCCCGAACAAATGCATCCTAAACAATCTCTCATTGAAAAACATGAGCAAATCATACATTTAGGTGCTATATCATAAGGAAATTTTGTTTATATTTTATGTTTTAATTTTCATAATTATTAAGTCACTAAATCTAGATCCAAATTTATTGATGTATTTTTTCGTATTTCAGTATTTTCATAAAAGATGGGTAGGTATTTTTGTGATTGCAATATCACATTCTTAGTTCATAAATCAAGACAGTTTGAATGTAGAAATATGTATGTTATCTTCCACATAATCATTTCCTTCAAAGATTTATGGGATTTTTTCCTTGAGGGACGTATGTGTTGTGTGCAGTAACCAGTTCCACTTTTTATTTGCGCAGCATGCTATGCGCACTTGCAGACAACTATAGACAGGAGTCGAGTTTAAGAAATTCATACCTCCACCGTTGAAGAGATTGATCTTAGTTAAGATCGTGATCTTAACTCTATGTCGGCTTACAATCGCCCTAAGATCGGGTTTGTGCAAGTGGATTAGGGCAATTGTATGGTGATTGTAAAGTTGATTGTAGGGTCCTACGATTGATTGTAACTAAGATTGCTCTGTGCAAGTGGGCCCAGATCTTTACACCACTATATGTAACTGAAATTGAGTTTGAGTGCCTGGATAAACCTTTATGTTGCGGCAGGGATAAACCTATGATGCGCTTTTGAGTTAAGGTCCTGTGGACATAAAAAAATACAAGTGCGGCCTAAGTAAATATAATGCAATAAATATTGTTATCGTTTCGCCACAATCACGCAAAAGACTTTTAAGTGCACCAGTTTTAATCCACATGCAATAATATCCCTGATTGGTTGTTGTAATAAGTTAAGCCAATGAAAGCATCTGTTTCTAAAAGTCTTTCATTTGGCAATTTTCAGTTTCGGTTTTCTTCATGATCGCGAATGATCATGTCATGATCAATTACAAGCTTATTAAAACAGTTTATTAACATACAAATTAAGTAAATACACTCAGCTGAAAACTGCAAACACTCAAATCTAAAAGGGACCCACCTAAAATTAACCTGGTGGGGCACTTGGACCCTCCTATCAAGAATTGGGGCCCACCCCCATTTAACCAGGTGGGGCATTGGCCCGCCCAAACAAATTCGTAGGTTTATCCCTGTGCTGCTTTTAGCAATATTCCAGCAATGTCACACAGGCAACACCAGAAATAGGCTTCAAACATTGTACCCATGTGGGGAATCAAACCCCAGTTGGCAGCTTGACAAGCGAACACTTAAACCACCAGGCTCCTAAATGTAACTGGAAGTGATTTATACACAGGATACATTTCATTACGATCTGTCCATGTAACTAATCACCATGATACAATGTTCAATATTTTCAGAGAGCAGCTCATGTTTCCTATCCAGTTTGTCAACATGCTGGGGGGAAATTGACATTGAAAGTCAAGTATCAGGCGGTGGACCTAGCAGCCAAGCCGGAGCAATTCGTCTCGGACTGGCACGAGCACTGACCAGCTTTGTCAGCCCAGATGTGGTGGAGAAAATGAGACTTGGTTAGTAGCTTGTTGATACTGACATCAGATTTGTAATGGATGAAGTGACCTGGGCGGGCAATTTGGGGAAATAATTATTTTGTAAATTTTGAAATTTTTACTGACATAACTTGCTACAAGCAAGGTTAAATAAATCCTGGCATTAGATATTTTATTGAAATATATATTATATATTATGTGATCCATTCTGTCTTAGAGTAATGCTAAGGTTTATCCTTATAGCTGGGCTGTTAACAAGGGATCCAAGAAGGAAGGAGAGGAAGAAGCCAGGTCAAGCCAAAGCAAGGAAGAAGTTCACATGGTATGTACATGGATGTAGAACTCGTGTGAGTGAGTGGAACAGAGAACAAGTGAGTGTTTGAGTGGACCAGAGAGGGTGTTTCTTTGAGCAAGTGTTTGGGTGGAGCAGAGTGAGTATGCAAAATTTATTTCATGGACAAAATTGCCATGTACATATTTGGTGCATTGTGTTTGAAATGTGTTACAATGTTGAAGGAGTGTATAGCTCATAGCCATGCTATTTTGTCTGTTTCAGGAAAAAGAGATAACCCTGATGTGTGAAGTGGAGAGCGAGTGTGATAGTCAAGATTGTAACTCAACCAGAGTAAAGTGTACACATGTTTTATTGTCCTTGTTTTCATGAAATTGTTTATTAAGGAAGCCCAAACTTGTATATACATGACAAAAAACCAAGCCTGTTTTAATTGCTCACCTGTTCAAATACTCTACTCCTACTCGAGTCGACCGCCTCCGTGGTGTAGTGGTTAGAGCGTCCGCCCAGAGAGCGGAAGGTCGTGGGTTCGATCCCCGACTGCGTCATACCAAAAGACGTTAAAATATGGTACTTGTTGGTCCCTGCCTGGCGCTTGGCATTAATGGGTACAACAAGGACTGGTCGGCTCGGAGTCAGTATAATGTGTCTGAGTGGGGTATTCATGCTTCACTTTGGCATGGTATCTCAGTGGGCTAGCACTATGAACCAGCTTAAGTCTGGGCTAGTACACATACACACGCATGCACGTCGTCATATGAGCGAAATATTCTCAAGTACGACGTTAAACCCAATTTCACCTCACCTCCTACTGGAGTCCTAGCTACTCGGACATTATTGTACCTCTGATTGCGTGAGTCATTGAGCTCTCCTTGTCCTATACTACCCATCAAAAGTTTAGACTCACTTAAAGCACTCACTATATGTTATCATAATGTATATACATGTGGTTACATCGAAGATGAATTTCTCCACTAACTTGGGGGAACCAACCGAAAAACCTTATGCAAATGAATTGCTCGAGGATCATGCATCAACTAGCCGAAAAGTATGTGCAAATATCGTGCATGTGAACAGCTGCGTTTTGGTGTAAAGTTTTGTTAAGAATTCGCCAATTTTCACTGAGTTTCATCATTTATTGCTCACGACAATAAACTTTTCAATGTTACAAATTTGTTTTACAATACATCAGTTCATGTGTAAACAGTACCCTTAAACTGTGTAGAATATTTTTCAAAATCTAGTTTAGATCAGTTGACTGAAGTAAGTGGCTACATTTACACTAGTGAGTCTAAACTTTTGATGGGGAGTATAGAAATCAAACAAGCTTGAATCTCATTGTTGGGCCTTGATATTGTTTGTTTGTTGTTTAACAAATAATAATGATAAATAACAGCGATCATGATAATAAATCTGTACACAATGGAAAATAGAATAAGGAGGTTATCGCAGTGTTCCATTTAAAACTATTATGTCAACGAATAAAAACATGACTACACATAATACGACATGAAATCCGATTACAAAATACCAGCATCTGTAGTTAGGCCACCATTTTCGAGAACATGGGGACTTTACGCTACTATAATCTGTTATGATTATCAATATTAAAAAGTGGTAGATATAAACATTCTTTGAATGGCGCTCGCTCACGATACCCTCTCAGATGGAAGAGTGTTTGAGTTAACGATTCCTGGCACTGTGAGGAAACTAAACCGCGGAAAATCCTGAACAAACATGCGGACGCCTACCGAACTACAACGCGCATGTACAATATCAGTCCTATTCACAATGTTGAAGAGTTTCCACACGCGCGTTGTCCGTTAATAATGCATAAACCGCATCGGATGTGAACTAGAGCATTCATTTGCCTGTCTGTTTACTTGTTAATGAAACTTTCAGTAATATCCCAGCCATATGACTGCGGTCTGTAATTAATCAAGTCTGGACTAGACAGTCCGGTGACTGATATGATGAGCATCGACCCACGCAGTACGATGACATAATACCATGTTGGCCAATTCGACCTTACGATTCTGTACAGCGTTACCCATGAGGACAAACGCATTTGTCTTCAAGACCATGGGTTCCTGAATACCACTTAACGATGACTTAACCACTTAACGAATACCACTTTTCAATGGCGTATTGAACGTCATTGTACGCGTGGATCAGACTCAATTAGTGAAAGGCTGTTGTGCCATAGCTGAAATATTGCTCACTGCATTGTTATAAAAAAAAAATCAACTTAACCTTGTCACGAATGACCCTGTTGTTATATTGAAATTATACGTATTCAGAGACTAAGTGTTAGCTTGGTACTCAGTGTCCTTTTCTTTACCGACCGCCTCCGTGGTGCAGTGGATAGAGCGTCCGCCCGGAGAGCGGAAGGTCGCGGGTTTGATCTCCGGCCGCGTCATATCAAAAGACGTTAAAATATGGTACTTGTTGTTCCCTGCCTGGCGTTCGACATTTATGGGTACAACAAGGACTCGTCGGCGGGCACGTTGTTATTGATTACCATGTTTTTTTCAAAGTAGGCTTTAACTATAGGATCAATACACATCTCACTCACACACACACACACACACACACACACACACACACACGCACACACACACCACACACCCACATAGATATACATGTACAGGAATGCTTGATATTAAAAGAAGAAGAAGAAAAATGCAACAGAAAATTGTCAAGTATTCACACGAGTAAGGGGTATTTATACCTTTATTCCATAACGTTTAGGCGACCCATGACTTAAGTATGGTTGACAGAAACATATATAATAGAGGCCTGTAGTCCACAGAAATTAACCGGTAAATTCGCCCCATGATGTTAAGTCCATCGCTATCATATCGCTGTTTGCCTGGTTTGTAGACAGCCCTCCTGATGAAAATATATAAATCATAACTGTTCAAAATTCATTGATTTTCCCTTGATGAATGGATTGTAATTTACACGTAGTTTACTACGTATTGCTTTTTTACAACAAATGGTATGAAATTTCAATATCATTATACCCTGTACCCTGATACCTTTATATAAACGAATGTATCATTTGAGCTTCTTAGAGTCTGGATACTAGTTGAACACGTCAAGACTGACTGACTGAGTTTAGTTTTACGCCGCTTTTAACAATATTCCAGCAATATCACTGCGGGGGACACCAGAAATGGGCTTCACACATTGTGCCCATGTGGGGAATCGAACCCGGGTCTTCGGCGTGACGAGCCAACGCTTTAACCACTAGGCTACCCCACCGGCCCGAACACGTCAAGAGACAACACTAGTCTCGGGTGTCTGGGCCCGTGAAAATTCGGGTTAGAATCTTCAGTAGCCCATGCATATCGTAAGAGGCGACTAACGGGATCGGGTGGTCAGGCTCACTGGCTTGGTTGACACATGTCATCGTATCATAATTGCGTAGATCGATGCTCATGTTGTTGACCACTGGATTGTCTGGTCCCGATTCGATTATTTATAGACCGCCGCCATATAGCGGGAATATTGCTGAGTGCGGTGTAAAATTAAACTCACTGACACACTCACTCACTCGGTTATCCGCCCAAACAGATTAAGTTAGCGATCAGGTGTTTGCGAAAAGTACAAACCAGCTCCACGTGCAGGATCCTCAAACAGTTTTCATTGAATATGCACGTGATTGTCTCTAAGAACATTAAACTCCGCGTGAAAGTCATAGCATGTAAAAGCATGGTGTCTGCCGCTAGCTAAGATTCATAGCGTTCACTGTCATGTTCATGTCAGTGAACGCTATGTATGTTAGCTAGGTGTCAGGGGTTTTCGACGATGTAAGACAAAAACGTATTTTTTATCTTTAATATCACTTAATGTTTTTATTTTACTAACCCTGAGTGATAAAGGATATATTCATCTTTTTCGCGCAAAAATATCAAGTGTTCCCTACAAAAATATTGTTGCCGCTCTCCACATCCGGGTATTTTGTATGGGTTTTCGACGATGAGCCATACTTTTCGCTCCGCACTGCGAGGGAGTGTTGTGATCACGTGGCTTCCTATTTATATATTGCCTGTCACAAGCAGACGACTGATCTTACTGAAGTTTCGCTTGCTATTTTTTGTTATATTTTGTTTCAAATGGACAGAGACGCTCATTCACACTGGGATTCACTCACATTCTACACTAAACCATAGAAAGGTTGAATATAGATATTTCAAAACACAGATTTAACTAATCGTAAGGAATTGTTGTACCCATTAACGATCACTGAGCTTCCGAAATCAACATTAGCTAGTTCACGGTACAACATCCACTTGGTATAGAACTTAGCTTGTTAGATTTTGCTATAAGCAATATTTCTTTCAATGACGTCCCTGTTGTGGATATAACGTTTAAAGTGATTACAATATAGGGTTGTTCTTAAACCTTTACATTTATAGATAAGATATGTAGCTAAGGGCATCAGCAGGTCGAACACATTATCAGTATATATAAGTTTCCTTCAGACCAAACAGAATAAGTTGAAGATTAAATTTCAAATTTCATGGATATGTGTGCAGTTTTCACTCCCAAATACGCCCCCAACCCCACCCCACCCCTCCTCTAACTCTACCACATGCCTCCCACTTGTGTTTAAATTTACGGTGAATATCATATGCATTCAAGATAAAATTTGCGCCTTTGCGCCTTTTTCACCTGAAATCAGATTCTTGTCAAGATTATCATCAATTTGGGCAAAACATGTGGGTTTACCTATAAGAATACTAATTCTTTTATATAGCGCCTAGTATCCATCTGACTAGTTGCTCAATGGACGCTGTAATCAGAATCTGATTATTATTACCCCGGATAACCCAAGCTGGTTATAGTCACATGACTTTATCCAACCGGGTACCCATTTTCTGCTGGGTGAACAGAGGCTATTTTGAACAAACTCACTTGCCTAAGGTGAAACCGCATGTATCACATGTGCTTCGTTGTGGGGCAGGACTGACGTCCTAGAAACTCTCAGGAGTGAAGCTGCCAAACACGGTCACCCTTCCAAGGTCTGTCCGATCTCGACGTTGCTTAACTTCAACTGATTCGTGATCTGAGCTCTACGCACAGGACCACACACCACCACACAACATCAGTTCTTATTATTTCGAAATACACCTCATGAATACAGGCGGATTTGAAAAATGTGTCCCCGCAGTGAAAGCATTTTCGGAATTCTGTTGTGAGGATGATCAGATGAATGTGATTGATTTCAATTAGATTTCTGTGTTTTATAGTTTCATGTGTATTCATGTCATGTCAGTAGCCATGTATACACGTGGAACATAATTATGCACCCCCTAATAGATTCATTCCATCGTAGTGATGTAGCT